AGCATGTTACTCAGGAGCATCCAGGCAGGTCTTGAAAAATCTCCAAAGAAGGGGACTCCACACCCTCCCTGGGCAGCCTGTTCCAGGGCTCTGTCACCCTCACCGTGAAAAAGTTCTTCCTCATATTCAAGTGGAACCCTTGATGTTCCAACTTGTGCCCATTGCCCCTTGTCCTCTCACTGGAAACTACTGAAAAGAGTCTGGTTCCCTCCTCCCTCAGCCCGCCCTTGAGATCCTTGTCAGCATTAATAAGGTCTCCCCTCAGCCTTCTCTTCTCCAGACTAAAGAGTCCCAGCTCTTTCAGCCTCTCCTCATAAGGGAGATGCTCCAGTCCTTGAATTATCTTTGTTGCCCTATGCTGGACTCTTTCCAGTAGTTCCCTGTCCCTCTTGAACTGGGGAGCCCAGAACTGGACACAGTATTCCAGTTGTGGCCTCACCAGTGCAGAGCAGAGGGGGAGAATGACCTCCCTCGACCTGCTGGCCACACTCTTCCCTATGCAGCCCAGGATTCCATTGGCCCTCTTGGCCACAAGAGCAATCAATTTCTCCTGAAGTGGCTTCCTCTGAATCTTTTTCAAAACCAGAGGTGGCGTTTCTAAGCCGGAGTTTGACTTGTTCCTCTCACCCACCCCCACCCCCCATATCCTTTGGCTTAATTTATTCCCCGAGGTGTACAAATTCCTCTCTGATGGCTTGTGCGGACCCTCTTCTGCTTCAGGGATACTTGGTCACTGGTGGACTTTTTGCCATCAGCCCACAGAAAGCTAAAGTGTGCCCTGGAGAAGACACAAACTCTGAGAAGGGGAAGACTGAGGGAGCATGAGCCTGGAATTTCCAGTCCCTAAAAGGGCTCCAGGAAAGCTGGGGAGGGACTCTTGATGAGGGAGGGGAGCCCTAGGAGGAGGGGGAAGGGTTTGACCCTGAAAGAGGGGAGATGGAGCTGAGCTGTGGGGAAGAACTTGTTTGGTGTGAGGGTGGTGAGAGCCTGGCCCAGGTTGGCCAGAGAAGCTGTGGCTGCCCCATCCCTGGAGGGGTTCAAGGCCAGGTTGGAGGGGGCTTGGAGCAACGTGGTCTGGTGGGAGGTGTCCCTGCCCAGGACAGGGGGTTGGTCTAGATGATCTTTAAGGTCCCTTCCAACCCAAACCATTCTGTGATTCTATGAATTAGTTTAAAATTAATCATGATGTTATTTATTATTCCCATACCCAGCTTCCAGACCACAGCAAACTTCCCCTCCCCATGGGTTTGCCTCCTTGTTGCTGCCGATCCTTGAACTCCCTTATTTCCGTTTCCCCTCTGTGATTTTAATCCTCAAAACCTCAGGCGTGTCCAGAGGGAAGTTCAATGAAGGAGGGACTGATGCTGACGAGTCGGAGGAGCCGATGACAGCTAAAGCAGGAGGTCTCAGGCCAAGATCCAGGCTCATGCAGCCAGAGAGAGGTTCCTGCAGGCAGGGGCAGCCCTGAGCTGCCAGCAATTTGCCTCAATTCCCTCTATAAATGAGATGCCTTTGATCAGGTAGGCAGCAGTTGCTTCGTAGCCATGTAATCCCTTGGTTTCTCTGCCAGAAGCCACCAGCAGTGTGTTTGTGGCTTCGATACCTTGTCCACCAGTGGCCTGAAGACAATCCCTCATTTCATGTAAGCTACAGAACCAGCCTTCAGAAGTGGCCATCTGTTACTGCTGGCCCATGACAGATTTTGAAGGCGAGACCTCGCAGTGAAAGGCTCTCTGCTATTCCCCTGAGCCGCCTGATCTTTTCCCTTCCACCCCTTCCCATCAAAAAAAAGAAAAAAAAAGCTTTGTACTTCTAAGCATTAGGGGATTCTAATTGGTGTGTGCACGACAGGACCACTGCATTTAAAGGGTGAACTAATGGAAGCTGAGTTTTATTGCTGGCATAAATATAGGATGTGCAAGTCCTTTGAAGTCTCAGGGATCAGCATCTGGGGGTGTTTGGGTTCAATTATACGCGATCGGTGAATTTGGCCCCAGGTTGTTTCCTGTTGCTCTGACCCGCAAATGCTTGACGATGTCCTCGGCCAAATCTTGGAGGTTCCTGGTAACGTTGTCTTTGCAAAAAGGGGTCCAAGTTGCACTTCCAAATAGGAGGTAAGCGTTAGGAGGTTTGAAGTCCTGCTGCAAATTAAGAGGACTTGGACTTGGCCGGGTTTTAGGCTTTTTGCTTGTTTGCTGCTGTCAAGAGATGTGCTTTCTCACTGCGGGTCAGGATGTGTCAAGAGATGTGCTTTCTCACTGCGGGTCGGGATGTGGAGGTGGTGGAGTCTCCTTCTCTGGAGACATTCAAACCCCACCTGGACACGTTCCTGTGCAACCTCCTCTGGGTGGACCTGCTTTGACAGGGGGGTTGGACTAGATGATCTCCAAGAGGTCCCTTCCAACCCCATGTCATTCAGTGATTCTGTGATGGACCTGCGGTTTGAGCTGGAACAGCTGTTCCGATTCAGACTCTGCTCTGAATCATCCCCAGCAGATGTGAGGCAGGAGGGATTCTCCAGCCACTGCAGCTCCTTTTGCTCTGGGGAAGTGGTTTCTGACCTGTTCTGTCCTGCCCAGGGACGCGACAGGACGGGCTGTTACACAAGCACTTGCTTGAATTCTTCTTGCAGTTTTTGTCCGCGCGGGTCCGTGTGCCACGAGTCCTCCCTTCATGGGGCCTCTGCACACCCGGGGTGAGACCCACAGGGAGAAGACACCTGGCAGACCCTTGCTTTCTGCAAATTGAAGGATTATTTTTCTCCTTCCACCCATCGTTGCCTTCTCTTGGCGTGTGGAGAAGCTTCCACCACCCATCCCGCGTGGCTCGGGCTCTGCCCGGGTGCACAAACGTTCTGTGCCTTCAGCCACCAGGCCAGAGTCCAAGCTTTTTTCTTTTTCTTTTTTTTTTTTTTTTTTTTTAATCGACAGATGTGCAGGGTTTAAAAGGGAGGAATCTGCCAGAGGCAGTAGCATACCAAGAATAAGTACTCTTGGGAGAGAGAGAGAGAGGTAGGAACCCATCCCACCTGCCGGGCAGTGGAAGACGGTGGTGTGAAGGGGGGGGAAAAAAAGGAGGAATGTGGACTGTAAAAACTTGCTCTTTGCATGATACCTTCCACGTCTGAGTCGCGTGCGTTCACCATGATTTATTGCTTACCTGGCTGAGGATGGGCCCACACAGAGGGAGGAGGGGGTCTGTGCCACACGGGTCCCTTGTCCTGTGAAGAAGACAGGCTGCAGACACCAAAGCCCTGTGACACTTGGTTCCAGAAGGACAGGGAGCTGGTGGAGAAGGCACAGCAAAGGGCTACCAAGATGAGTAGGGGACTAGAACATCCCTCTGCTGAAGAAAGGCTGAGGGACTTGGGTCTGTTTAGTCTGGAGTTGAGAAGGCTGAGGGGGGATCTGATCAACACCTCTAAATCCTTCAAGGGTGGGTGTCAGGAGGATAGGGCTGGTCTATTTTTCAGTGGTGCCCAGGGACAGGAGAAGAGGGAATGGGCACAAACTTGAACATAAGAAGTTCCATCTCAACATGAGGATGTTTGGTGTGAGGGTGGCAGAGCCCTGGAAGAGGCTGCCCAGAGAGTTGGTGGAGTCTCCATCTCTGGAGACATTCCAAACCCACCTGGACACGTTCCTGTGCAACCTGCTCTGGGTGACCCTGCTTTGACAGGAGGTTGGACTGGATGATCTCCAGAGGTTCCTTCCAACCTCATATAATTCTGGGATTCAGCACCATTGCAGCAAGGATGTGGGCTGGTTTGTAGCAGGGATGCTTTTATAGCTTTATAGATTTGAAGGGTGTACTTCGAAAAGAGGAAAAATGGACCCTTAAGGCATGTGTCTAGCTCTTTTTCCTACCCCCCCAAGTTAAAAAGAAGAGTACTTACCTCCTGGTAGCTAGAGCAGGAACTAGCGTAAGGTAAGGTTCCAGTGGAGACACCAGCTTCCCATATCTGCAAGGTAAAGCTTCGAACACCTTCTCAAGGCATCGTCCTCCTCCAAAAGCTGTGCCTCTTCCTCGGCTGTGAGTTCCCATCACCTCTCTTGGGTGAAGAGGACCATTTCCCCCAACGAAGAAGGGCACGGGGGGGTTGGGGGGGCAGCAGGAGGGAGAAAACCCATCGCTTTGGACCCGTTCGTTGGCCATGAATGTGCGCTCTGTTGTAGCGGGAGAGGCTCCCACTGAACGAGTCGGCGAAAAATGCTGGGAAAATGGTTTTTAGATGAAGCCAGGGACTATCTGGTTACGTATTACCTTTCTGCCAGGACAATGGCTGCTTTATATCCCCGTGTGCTAAACGCTCTGGAGTATATGCTAATATCCCTGTTCACGTGTGATCCATCGCGCAGCCACAAACTTGGGAAACTCATCAAGATCCGGGTCCCTCGTAGCCTTAAAAACACATCGAGCTCCTTTCAGAGACCCAGCCCAAGTGCCTTGGATTCCATGAACTTTCTGGCCTCGTGGCTCTTGGGATGCATAGAAATGCTACTTTTGGCAGCCACGTTGGCTTCTCATTCGTTTCTCAGCCCTCGTTACTCCGGGAATAGCAAAGACCTTCACTGGAGGTGACCTTCCCTTCTCCAGGATGGATTTTACTCCTCTCACTTCTGTGCAGCCATTTCTCATCGGGCCTCTCTGGTTCAATTAAGCCACTCATCTAAATATTTGTAAAACACCATACAAATATCTGGAAGTATCTTACACTTGCCTCCCACTTACTCTACTTTCCACTTATGCACGTAATGCTCTCTATAGAGGTAGAAGTATTTAAGTTACTGTGCTTAATACTGAATTTTTTTACTCGTATGGGGACACTGAATTTTTTTACTCCTATGGGGACATAGAATTTTTAAATTCACCTGTTAAGCAAAAGGATGTGTTTCCTATGAATACATTAATTATCCCACTTAATGCCTCTCCCCCCCCCCACCCCCCAACTGTGGTATTTGGCCTTTGTTCCGCCTTTTACACTTGCATTTTATTGTCAGGCTTCCTAACAGCAGACTATTCAGGTTGCAAGTGGAGCCTGGCAGAGAGTTCGGCAGGTGAGTGGATTTTTGTGGTGGTAGTTTTGGAATAACGGGATTTGGCTGTCATTGGTGTTACCACTTGTTCCTTTAGGTTCCTCACTGTGGTGTCTCTTGGGGTTAAAGGGGCTATATCTATCCATCTTTTTTTTTTATTTTTTTTATTTCTTTTCTCCTCCTTTCACACTTTCAAGGGGAAAATATCAGCTGTTGGATACATACCTACATCCAGGCATCCAGCATGCCTCTGGGGTGTGCTAATATCTTACAGCCCAATCCTGTTAGCCTTACGCAAGCCGAGCTCTCTCGTAATTGTTACTTAAGTAAAGAATTAGTGAGGAGCAGGACAGAGCTGGGCTCAGAGCCTGTATTTTAATAACACTCCAGCAGCGGTACCGTGGTGATAAGGATGGGGTTGTGGGGAGGTTGTGATTTATTTTTTTTTTATTATTTTTTTTTGGATTTGTAAAATTTGGCTTTTTAAAGGTGACGGAGACGGTGCAGAGTTAAAGCAGCAATGCAAAGGAGAGAAAACCCCACAAATACACTTTCGGCACCCATCAGCTTTAAGATACTATAAACTGACCATCGTAAGAGAACCAACAGATTTTGGACTGTCTTGATATGCAGCTGAATTCCCCTTGTACATTATTAATTATGATATGCAAGGATGCCCAGAGTGTTTTTCCTGCAGAAATTCAGCCAAATAATTGTCTGCTTCATTTGAATACGCCATATTTCAGTGCTTAAAAACTATATATGATTCAATTCAAATGACTTTGTTCTTAAACGGACTCTTTTCATTCGAGTAATAAAACATTTTATCCATTTTAGATGGTACCCTGCCTTCATTCTCACAGTAGCCTTTAATAAAACTGTATGGAAAATACAGGACCCTAAAGGCTGTTTTTAAAAGCATGATAAGAATCAGTCTCCATGCACAGTTCTTCCTCTGGAAGAGCCCCTGTGGGTGTTAATGGCATAGCAGGCGAGTCAGTAAAGTATTTATGGCAAAATATTACAGGGATCCAGAAACTGTAAGGTGCTGCCTTGTCCATAAGAGCTTGAGCAGCCTCTGATTTATTCTTCAGTGTTCCCTGTCTCTGCTTGGAGAAGCTTTGTGCTGGCAACACCTCTCTGCTCCCTCTTTTTTATTAGCAGAGAACGGATCGTAAGGAAAGCGAATCCCAACTTGAGCAGACATGAGGGGTTGCGGGACTTTCTCTATTTTTAACTGTGTTTCCTGTATCCATGATTGACCATGATAGACTGCTAATCTTATCAGGTGTGCCCTTCGCTCCACAGCAAAGCCCAGCCGATCAAGGAAGCTTAGAAGGGTTATTCGCTAAGCTTTCCTCTCTGGAGGCTGGTAAAAAAGCTTTCTTTTCAGGTAGACACAGAGACACCTCTCCTACCCACCAAAATTGGCTTGGTTTGAGAGTGACGTGCTCTGGAGGACCCAGCAGTAGCGTGTGAGGTCTAGGTAAGAGCTAAGCTTGAGCAGACTCAGCTTTATTCTGCCCCAGCCCACGTCCAGGTCCTGTTAACAAGCTCTAAATTCACCCTCAAACCTCCACGAAGGGGAGAGGGAGGGACAGGTAACCTTAGGTGAGACACAAGGGCTGAAGGCATGAAGCCAATCCACCGTCAGGATACCAGACTCCTGCTCTGCCTTCTTTCCCCAGCACCTTTTCCATGGGAGTTCTCAACTACATCAACATGAGGATGAAAGAGAAGACCTGAGATTTTGGATCGATCATTTCCAATGTTAAAAATAATTACAGGTTTTTCCTTATATTGCTGTCCTCGCTGCAGATGATTGCAGGTGGAAGACTTCTGGTATGGCAGGAAAGGGCTGCAAAGACAGAGATGCAGGGCAGTTGTGAAGTGTCATCGGTGAAGAAGACGTTTGTTGCCACCGCTTGAAGACCATGGGTCTTTGCAGTGCCAGGGAAAAGTCTGGGTATCCGTTTGGCTCACTGGGGTCTTCCTCTTTCCATGGAAACGCTGGGGCTTCAGAGGAGATAATTCCATGAGGACAGCTGAGTCCCTCTCTGTATGTCACTTGATAGGTTGGGCTGTCCCCTCCAGCAGCAGAGACTCCTGTAAATCAGGAATCCCAACCCCAGTGTGTTTGTCTGAAAGTGCTGCAACTTAAAAAGACTTGAGTTCTTGAGTTCTCAAACCAACAACCAACCCCAAAACAAACCCTCAAAATTCCCAAAACCTTTGGAATCCTTCAGGGATCTTGTTAGTCATTTGACAAGGAAGGGTGGTGACCTCTAGGTCATCTCTGGGCTTGTGTCCTCTTGGATTTTATATTGAACAAAGCAGGAGGTGCAGACACACCTGCCCTGCTCTTGAAAGGAGCCACAAGTAACTGAGTGGTCCCTTTGTGAGGACAGATTGCCTTCCTCTGGCTTAGAGGCAAAGGTGAAAGACCAAGAAATAAGGAAGATCAAGCCAAAGGTGTTTTAGATCTTGGCTGAGCTGTGATCCTTCCCTTGTTCAATGAGCTGTCATCTCGCAGCTAGAGAAGGAAGGTTGGTCTCCAACCAAGACTTGGGGATAAATAGAAAGCAAACATCCAAACTTGGGTTTTTAAATGACACCTTGACCCAAAATGCTAAGCATCTAAGGGTCTTTGCTGAAGCTAAATGAGTGGAAGGAAGAATGAGCCCTATTAGCATGGTGTTGCATGACAGCCCATACCTTTCTGATGACATAGGGCTGGAGGTCCCAGGTCAATCAGGCTTTATTTATTGGTCACTGAGATGGCAGCTCCTGTTGCTCTGAACGAGCAGAGAAGGAAAGCTCAGTGAAACAGAACAAGAAGAGCCAAAGCTGAGGAAAGAACAAGGCACTGACAATTTAAGCAGGTAGGTGATGCCCAGCCTGAGATGGTCTGGGCAGTCTGAGACGCTGAGGTGTGATCATGAAGATGAGGGGTTGGATGCAGGGAAGGAAATAGCAGCTCCAGGGCTGTGACGTTCCTACCTCCCAGGCAGTTGTTGATGGAAACCCTTGCATCTTGTTTTATCTCCTTTGCTTATCTTCTGTTCTAAGGAAGAGTCAAGGCTATGGTGTGACCTACTAGATTGTGACACTGGGTTTAGTGAATCACAGAATCTTCATGGTTGGAAGGGACCTTTGAGATCATCGAGTCCAACCATACACACACACAAAAAACCAAACCCAACCTTTGAGATCATCGAGTCCAACCATACACACACACAAAAAAAACCAAACCCAAAACCCCACAAACACCAAAAAGACCTCAAAACAAGACACCCAACCCAACAATCTCGGGCAGTAGATCATGCCATGCCCTGAAGTGCCACATCTACACGTTTCTTAAATACCTCCAGGGATGGTGACTCCACCACCTCTCTGGGCAGGCTGTTCCAGTGCCTGACAACCATCTCAGTAAAGTAATTCTTCCTAATATCTAATCTAAACCTCCCCTGCCCCAACTTCAGACCATCTCCTCTGTTTCTGTCATTATTCCCTTGGGAAAAGAGGCCAACCGCCACCTCTCTGCACCCTCCTTTCAGGGAGTTGTAGAGGGCAATGAGGTCTCCCCTCAGCCTCCTCTTCTCCAAACTAAACATGCGCAGTTTCCTCAGCCTCTGCTCGTATGAGTCGTTCTCCAGGCCCCTCACCAGCTTGGTGGCTCTCCTCTGGACACGGTCCAGCATCTCAATGTCCTTCTTGTAGTGAGGGACCCAGAACTGAACCCAGCCCTTGAGGTGAGGCCTCACCAGTGCCCAGTCCAGAGGCACCATCACTTCCCTACTCCTGCTGGCCACACTACTCCTGACACAGCCCAGGATGCTGTTGGCCTTCTTGGCCTTGCTGTTGGCCTTCTTAGTGCTCCATTTGTGAGCTGCCATGACTCAACTTTGCTATCAAAACCTCAGGTGCCTTGTTACATTGCTCTTTGTTGTGGTTTTGACCAGAATGGCTTTTGAAAAGACGGGTGATGGGTGATCTTGAGGTATGCTGGTGGTCAGCGAGCAGAAGTAGGACTGCACACTTACTCAAATTATCATTTGATGGGACACTTTTGTGTTTTGAAATGAAAGACACAGGGGATGGGTAGGGAAGAGCTGTGACTGTTGTGTGCCTAGAAAGTTCTCAGAGCTTAAATAACTTAAATCATGGTGAAAATCTTTCCAAGTATCATCTTGTCCTAAGAGACATCTAATTTGAGTTAGTCATTGACGCTCTAGCAGTAGTTGGGGGGGGAAGAGAGAGAGAGAGAGGGACATGCTTTCAGAAGACAGTTTGTCTTATCTTAAAGTAGGTGCCTGTGTTAAGAGATGTCTTCTGCTTCCTTTGTCACCAGTGAGTGTGGTAAGATTCCTGAAATGCTTGATTTCTGCAGCTGACTTTGGGTGAAATCCCATCCGTGGTGTCACGTCAACACCTCGTATCTTAAGGGACGCCTTCAGTTTTGCGGATGTTTCTTCTCTACGGTCAGAGGATTTTCCAGGGTAACGTGACTTGGAGAGCACTCGTTTTAGCTGGTGTGATTTAAACTCGTTACAGAGATCGCTGGTGTTTTTCTGAAGTTACATGCTCGTGCCCGTTGCGTGTCCTTCCCCCTTCTTGAAGGCCTCTCGAGTCACTCCCCCCAAAGGGAGGTGGTCAGGATGATAATTTCTGGAAATCTTGGCAAGCCAGTTTCCCATGTGCAGCAATGTATGGATTTAATAAAAATCTGTTGTGGGAGCTCTTAACGTGCACGCCGAAGAGCGCTCTTTTGTGTTAGCAATAACACAGCAGGTAGTCCCCAGCACTGCACTTAACCTTGTCTTGGTGAGGATAGGAATGGTCATTGCTCTAGGAATCGGTTTAAGGACACGGTTCCTCTGCAGTTATTTAAATGCTGGTGGTTGTGGTACCTTTATTGTAGGCAACGATACCTGCTGTTTTGCCAGAACACGTGTGTGACTGCAAACAGCTGTTAGGAGCTGCTCAAGATCCTGGTTTTATGACTGTCCTTTTTAAAAGTG